TCCCACGCTGTTCGAACGCTCCTTCGGTCGCACTCTCGGACTGGCCAGGTTGCTAGTACTTGAGAAATTGCCGAAAAGCACTGACCGTGACGCTTACGTTGATCAGCGTCGTGCTGAACGTGGCAGACCAGCCATCAATCGTTGGGCCACGCAGAAGCTCAAAGGCGACATCAAGCAACAGCATGACGAAGATGTTGCCGAGTGGGTAGAGACTGATGAGGTCAGCGATTACCATACCTTCACCATCCCATACGGGCCGAAGTTCCATGCTCGGAAGATTGAGAGGTTGCTCTTTGCGAAGGACTTGCTACTCAACGCCGAATGGAATCGACCTAAGGATCGACAGACCACACTACATCGACACCCTTCCTTCTTTGGCAACGCAATCGATGTAATTGGGGACTGTTGCGGGTTCTGTCCCGAGCCCACCACACCAGAAGATCAGGAGATTGCAGCTGAGGAAAGCAAGATCTATGTGTCTGGCACATTGTCTTTCATCAAAGACAACCCTGGACGGCAATCAATCGGCTCATTTAACCCTCTTACTGATGATGATTGGACCGAGATGGCATATGTCGGCAATACAGCGCGACTGTGTCAGGCTATAGTGGACGGAGATCTCGAGCATGTCCGGGATTGGCTCAGTCAAGAGGGTGCTGATCCCAACCGAAGGGACTACACTGGGCGTACTCCACTTCATTTGGCGGTCATGACCTCAACTCCGCAGGTCGTTCAAGCTCTCGTCGATGCTGGAGCCCGTATCGTCGCTCGCATCTTCGATGGTAAGACCGCGCTCCATCTTGCTGCCATGCGCGGTGAGGTAGAGATGGTCAGAGCTCTCCTCATCAAGAGTGAGGCCAACGAAGAAGAAGAGGCAGAGAAAGAAGCTCTTAAGAAGAAGAACCAGATCCTCCCGGAAACACCAGATGCTACCAGTACCAACGACACCGAGGAACATGCTTCCGATGACGACAGCGAGAACGACGACGATGAGGATGACGACGTCGATTTACTTGATGATGAGTCCGATAATGCCGATGCGACTACTGAAGGCTCTGTCATCAAGATAGACCCCAAAAAGTCAGAAGACCACGATAACCTCCCAGATGATGCAAATGACGACGAGCCCGATGTATACGACGTCAACGTAGTCGCTTGGGACGCACCGGTATCTGCGCTCCACCTGGCCATTGCAAATGGTCACACCGACGTCGTAAAGACTCTCGTTCAGGAGTTTGGAGCCGATGTACTACTGCCGGTCAAGCTTGTCAATGATTACAACAAGTCCCCGCGCGCGGCGATCCTGCCAACCGTTCTCGCTTTACAGCTCTCGCCTGAAAAGGCCAAGGACATGACTAGATTACTCGTCAGCCTAGGTGCATCGCCTGCACAGGGCGACACTAGCCACATCACAGCGTTGCACTACTTTGCTGCGCATGGTGCCGATCTGCTCACCACTTTGATATCCGCAAACAGGCCTGCGGCGCAACAAGCCGCCGATCACTTATCGCTGAGTGGCTATTCGTTCAGACCCAACGTGAACAGTCCTCTGAAGACAGCCATTGAACATGGTGATACCGCTGGAGTTGAAGCACTTCTAGAGCTGGGCGCGAAGCCTGAGCTTGACTTCGCCACCTACTCTACCGTTGCGAAAAACAAGGGGTTTCATTCGGCATACAGCACTGCCGAGAGCAACCAGAAAGCGTTCAGAGAAAACGTCGAGCAGCCTGTATTTACTGCACTTCGTTATGAGGCATTGTCGATAGTCTTGAAGCTTCTGGATGCTGGAGCAGACATCAACAGTCTTACTCCCAAAGCTTGGTGCGCGCTGGACAAAAGCAACAACACACACGACAACGATACGGGCACCCTTTTGGATATTGTTCGGTACAATGTGCGAAAACTACAGACCTTTATCGAGAAGGGCAAAGTTGATGGCCAAGATGGGTGGTTGTGCTCCGAAGGCTGGGTGGACCGCATTGATAACTACCGGCGGTCCGAGCAATTCGCCCCAGTACCGCTCAAGGAAGATACTGAATATCTTGGAGGACTCGAACCGGGTACCTACGCTCATTGGATGGTGAGTGATCAGATCGACAGCGCCAAACGGATCTACGAACAAGACTTGGAGAGCCACGAGAAGTGGAAACAATCTCAGAAAGAACCCGAGGGTACGAGTGAGAAGAAGTCGGCTGTCCAGGCGCTATTGAAAGAGTTCGAAGCATTGGAGTCAGAGCTGCTCAGACGACAGGCGAAGACCTTCAAAGAGCTGCATCCAGATACCGAAATCAGGATACCCCCACCACAACAGTACAATTATGGTAGCTATGGACCTGACCCTCCAAAGCCGTGGAATCCGTTGCTCACCTTCCGGCTTTCTGACCTGACCGACGAACGACGGGAAGCTTACCTCAAGTTGTTCCAAGCCTGCTGGGATGGCGATCTTCCGACGATCAAAGAGCTTACCTTGTCGATGTGGGGAGATAATCAGACTCCCCTGCAAATCGCTGTTCAGAACTCGCAGGATTACTCGCCGTTCTCTATCGCCATTCTGCGGAAGCACTATGGAATCGCTCGTGCTGTCTTGGAGATTGCACATGCGCAATATGTGCCCGAAGAGAAGCCATTGGTCAAACACAGTCTCCAGCCCCGAGATGATGACGACGGTAGCAGTGACGATGGTGAGGATGATTTCGAGATCTACGCTGAGATTGTGGATGATTGCTTCACTATTGAGAACATTGGAGAGGTGCAGAGTCAAGTCAAAAGCAATGTGACGCCACTCAAGATGATGTCGTGGACGTGCCCGGCGTTCCGTTTTCTCGAACACGATGCTGCATCGGTCTCACCCTGGCTTCCACACCCAGAGCTCTCAAGCAGCCTCCGTGGTCAACCGCCTTTGGACTCGTCTAGTGGTAACCCGGTACCCGTCAAGATCCCCGAGGATGTGCGGCCGCATAGTCTGTTCCAATTGGCAGTCTATCTAGACGATGCCGATCTACTACAATTCCTGATCGCCAGAGCTCAGGAGTACACGCAACACAACACCGAACTCGACGATGAGACTGCACCGAGGTTCTTCCGTTTCGACGAAGCCGAGTTCTGGTACGCGATCCGCTTGAGTCGTACCCGCCTGCTAGGAATCATCATCAAGAACACTGGGGCTGGCATTCCTTTGGACGATCTTGTGAAGAAGAGCGGCATCGAGATACCCGTGAAGCCAAAGTACTACCAAGGGCTATCGGTGCACGGCAGGAAGCGAGCGGACTGGGCGAATGAAGGGAGAGAGACCCAGACGAAAGCAGTTGGGGCGAAGCATCCGCCTTTACTTCATGCCGCTCGTTACACAAGTTTGGAGAGCGTCGAGTGGTTCGCTAGTGACACCGCTTTGCGCTGTTATATGGAGTTTGCGGACAGTCATCGAGACGATATTCGCATCCAGAACCTGGCGAAGACCCAAGGCGGCCTACAGTCGTCTATCACAAAGTGGCTCGACCTACGCTCGCATCTACTGCTCCATTCGGTGGTTCTGGGCAAGGAGGGTGAAGAGTCGGTGAGCCTGCTTCGACATCTATGCAAAACTCATCCCAAGGCGATTGGACATCGTTCTGCGAATGGCATGACGCCCCTGCAGCTTGCTTTCTCTCAGCACCGTGTCGAAATGGTGAAGGTTCTTCTGGAAGCTGGTGCCGATCAAACCACACGCGACAACACCGGAGCGAACATTATCCACTCAATCCTGCACAAACATTTGAACTACCAGCTAGACCTAGAGAAGCTCCGCGAGCTTTTGGCGCTCATCGACACTCGCCTTCTCTCTAGCCTGTTCACCGAACGCACAACGGCGGCTCCTGGCGCAGCTACACCTCTTGCACGCTGGCTTCACGTCGCTCTTCCCCACAATTCAACAAGTTATAACTCGGAGAGCCACGAAAACATTCTCAAACTTCTTTTCGAGCTCAACAAAGGCGACGACCTCAGTATCGTCAATGGCGAGGGCGACACGCCTGTCCATCTTGCCGTACGGCGTGGTACTGATCAAGTCTTGCGCGTCATGCTCCAATGCCGTCCTGACCTTCTCTTCCGTGAGAACGCATCAGGACGTACGCCGTTTGAGATGGCAGAGGATACATATCTGGCTCAAGAGGTCTTCAGCAACCCTCCGCCTCCCAGCGACGCAGGGCAAAATCGTCGCCACAGACATCTTGGTATCGGGAACGTGAATACTAACGTGCTTTCACGACGTCCAGAATCCTTCGTCGAAAAGTCCCGAGATACTCGCGATGCTACGACAAAGGTGTGGGAAGTCTGCAAGGAGTTTGCCGAGAAGAATCAAGGGCAGAAGAGGAAGCTGGTCAGCCTGGTCGAGGCAAATGAGGTTGCGAAGCGACTGGCATTGCGGAAGCGGAATGAGTCTACGACGCGGGTGAGGGGGAGGCGGTTCAGGCGCAGGCATGGCAGAGTTGAAGCCATCCACGACGACGACGACGAGCTTGCCACAGGCGACGAGGTCGATGCGTGGTTTGGAGCGCATGGAACGTAGGCGGATCGCTAGTATCCGTTGTCCGATCGCCTGTAGAGATTCGGCCTTCTTGTGTTGGTACGTGCGGCTGGTTTTACCTGAGACTGGTTACTTGCGCAGGGGGAGACGAGGCGCCGATCTAGCGAGCCCCTATTTTGACACAACGATAAGAACGTATTCTTGACTCGCCTGTAGAGATTCGGTGGCACGGCGGAAATCCTTCTCGTGTTGGTACGTGCGGCTAGTTTTACCTGAGACTAGTTACTTGCAGAGGTGGAGACGAGGCGTCGATCTAGCGAGCCCCTTTTGATACAACGACGATAACATATTCTCCGGCTACCCACGAATCCGTGTTCCGAACGCGACTTTGGCCAGGGATTCTCATACGGTGTTAAAAGCAGAGCAGAAGTAAATAGATTTGACAAATAACACTCATTGTTGAGCACCTTTCACAGTTCGCAAGTTTAGCGTCTCAGCAATGGATTTCCTCAAGCGATTCAAAAAGCAATCTTCCCCAGCAGTAGATGCTACACCAACCCCATATGCCGACGACGACGTCCTTCCAGTACACACACTAGACGACACGAAGACTTTCCGTAGCATCATAATTACATGGACACTCTGCTTCAACGATGTTCTCGATGCGGATAGGCTCCGGTCCTCTCTAGCAAAGCTCTTGGAAAATGGGGACTGGAGGAAGCTTGGAGGACGCTTGAGACTCAACGTAAGTGGCATCTTTCGGATTGATTTCGCGTGGAAGCAGTACGGCTAACATGTTGGATGATAGAACAAGGGTGCATTGGAGATTCATGTCCCACGCCAGTTCACATCTGAGCGACCCGCCTTCTCGTACAGCCATGTCACCATCAACACTCCCATCGAAGAGCACGACCTAGCCAAGAAGCTTCCCAAAGCCAACAGAGCCGTCTTGATCTGTCCAGGACCCACGGAGTTCAATGACCTGGCCGCTAGCGCCGACGCGCCCATGACGTTTGAGGACTTGATCGCTGGAGACACGCCACAAATTTCGGTCCACATCACGTCTTTTACCAACGCAACACTCGTGGGACTCTCCTGGCCCCATACTTTGATGGATGTAATTGGCAACCAAAACCTCCTCTGCGCGTGGTCGATGGTATTAGCCGGAAAAGAGACCGAAGTGCCGCCTGTACTAGGGGCGCGGGAAGACATGCTACGTGCACTGACTGACAACACGACTCAGCCGGCAGAGGAGTACATACTCAAGGCCAAACAGCTCAAAGGGCTGAGTATGGTCAAATTTGGAGCGAGGTTCGCATGGGATATGCTTACTGGTCCTGCTCCAAAGTCGCAGACGATTTACCTGCCAAAGGACGTCGTGGCGAAATTGCGCGTAGCAACTGAGCAAGACCTACCTGTGCAGGAGAACGATGACGGTATAGTCGAGAAACCACCGTTCATCAGCGATGGCGATGTGCTCACTGCATGGACACTCCGCTGTATCGCATCTTCTCTGCCATCACCCCGTCCCTTGACCGCCCTCCACGCAATGAACGCTCGTTTCCGTCTTCCTGAACTCATCAACGCGAAGGGTATGTACATGCAAAACATGCTCGTCCCAGGCTTCATCTTCGTCACCCCAGACATGTCCACCGGCCCCCTCGGTCCCACCGCCCTGCACAACAGACAAAGTCTCCTCGCCCAAGCAACCGAAGGCCAAGTCCTCGCCAGCATCCGCGAGCAACGCATCTCCGGCGACCCATCTACGCTCCTCTACAGCGACGCAGATGCGATGTTGGTGCCTTTTACCGACTGGTCGAAAGCCAAGTTCTTTTCTACTGTCGACTTTGGGCCTGCGGTTGTGAGGGCTGGTGATGAGAGTGAGGGAAGGAGTAATCCGCCTGGTATGCCTGCGTTTCATCATTGCTCGAGTAGGATACCGAATCCGGCGAATAGGCTGTTGGTGCATATTTTGGGGAAGGATCATGCGGGGGGTTATTGGCTGAGCTTGATTATGTCGCCGAAGGCTTGGGAGAATGTGGAGGCGAGTTTGAAGGAGTTGAGTTGATCGATGGGGGAGCGATGCGATACCCGTGGTTTATCATTCTTTTCTCTTTCGTTGCTTGGATACCGGTTTTGAACCTGCGTCGTTGTATAGTAGTAGGCACCTAGCTGTTGCTATTTGTCGCAAGGCTTTCATCGATTTGACGCTGATACCTGAAATTCATCGCTTTGCTGCTGAAACTATGGGCGGAAGTGAGTTGTTCAATCGCATCTGTTCTTTTCGTCGCAACAGAATCTCCATACTGGAACTCATAACGGGATCAAGCATATTTTGCTGCGCTGACGTCGGTGCAAGATCGGCGGGAAAAGGGATATACCCAGATAAAGCCGTGTGACAACATCTTTGCACTAGCTAGCATACCTAGGTAGTGCTGGCAATATCTTAATCCGCTGAAGGCTTTGGAGGTGCTCAAATCTTAGATGCGAGTACAATCACATATGTCGTGTTTCAGATCAGCGAGATAGGTGCCAGCGGTTCCAGGGTTGGTGACGAGAAGGGTACATGGTGGGGACATCAGGGGTAATGAGGTGGGGGTGACGTAGCCACGGAAACGGCTCCGGCACGGGCACCACCCCACCTGTAGCCCCATGCGATAAGGTTGACACAGCTGCAGAGTCTCTTGATCGGAACGCAGTGCGTGGTATATATGCTCTGGAGTGTCACATCTGGTTCCTGTAATCTTTGGTTCCCAAATTCCCAATGTCAGCCGTGTCCTGAGCAATCTGACGCCATCGACCCTTCTGTTTATTCCAAGCTTCGCACTCAACCCTCTTGAATGACATCATGAACTCCGATGCAGCGATGGCATCATCAACAGAGAGCCGCCAGCAACTCCAAACTCCCCCTCCAGACTCCGATGAGCACGGGCCCAAAGTAACGGGTATCGAAGAGACGTCGGTCAAGCCGCTGAAGCCAGCTGAACAAGCGCAAACGCCCAACCTCAAGCGACCGGCACAGGACGACGAAGATGCCGAAACGAAGACGCCCTCAAAGGTAGCGAGGATAACCGAAGCCTCATGTGGGCCAAGGACGCCTAAGAAGCCAGCACAGTCCGAAGAAGCGCTTGCGAAAAAGCTCGCGTCGGCCAAGAAGAAAGAGGAAGAGGCCGCAGTTAAGGCCGCGAACGCTGCCAAGAGGAAAGAAGCTGCCGATGCAAAGAAAGCCGAGAAAGAGAAGAAGAAGCTAGTCGCGCAATGGAAGAAGGACTGGAAAGAATGGGTATCCAACAACCAGACCTACGAGGAACTCACTTCAGGCGATCTAGGAAAAAATGTAAATGTCAAAAACGCAAAGGCATTCTTCGACCTGAAGCCAGATGAGCTCAAGTGCATCCCACATCGCCCCTCCGTGAACGCATTCAACCAGATGCCCCAGAAGGACTACAGATGGGATGACTGCGGGAAACTAGCCTTTCGGAAAGAAGCTATGCTAGCCGGCATATCGCAGGATAACGAGCAAGAGTTCCTTGCCAAAGGAAAGAAGTTGTTTGCCGATAAGCACGCCAGAGGGTAAGCGACCGATGTATACTGCAGCTGCAATGATGCTAACACTCTCCAGTAATTACGACAACCTCTTGTATGCCAAAGGGGGAAGGTCCGGGGCGGAGATTGCACGCTACAAAGAATCGATGCGACAAGACGAACTCAGGCGGATGCGCGAGGATGAAGAGGATAGGTTGATGTGTGAGAAGTATGGGGATGACCCGAGTTTTCAGCATAACTGGAGCGGCTACTAGACTTTCACCAATACGAATTTCCTAGTTTTGTTCTCGACTTCGTGCAGTGAACCTGTTTTCGCGCGCAAGTGTTTTCCCGGAGCCTTGACGTGGGGGCTACCATCGTTGTGTCGTACTAGTGCACCACAATCATACCGAAGGATCTCGATATTGCTAGTCGTTGTAGTTTACCAATATCTCGATGCATCTTGACGTGGCATCCAAGATAACTGTTTTGGTACATTTACCCCTCATTGTGCAGCAAATCTAGGCCTTGTTCGGAAGGCCGTTTCGTTGAGAGGCACAGTTGTTCCAACGTCTTTATTCACTGAACTCTACGTCGCATTGTCCCATATGCCTAAGACCACTGCCAAAGACACTGTTCAAGTGTCTTACCTCGTCCTCTTTAAGTAACGCTCTTTCGCATCCACCCAGTATGCCACTCCATCGCCGCGATTCCAAAATGGTGAAGGAAACGTCACAACCCCTCATCAAGGAGGAACCCACCTCGCCTACCCTAGCACCCCAGCTGCTCACCCCACCTTCCTCAGTCATCAATATCAAGTCAGAGCCTTTTGCATTGAAGAGCGAGGTCGAAGCTTCTCCTACAATAGCGAAGGCGTCCAAACGTAAACGACCGGCCACACCCGATGATAGTGACGATGAGCCGATCAACCCCGTGGCATCGCGCAGGAGATTCAACGCTGCCGTTGTACCGGTCAAGATAGCGCCTAAGCCGCCAACAACCCCCGTGTCATCGAAGAAGGTCGAACCCGCCAGCATACCAGTCAAAACAGAACCCAAGACGCCCACTCCGACCCCCGCAGAACGCGAAGCCGCTGCGAAACGAGCTAGAGAACAAGCTCACCATGAAGCGGCGTTAAGAGCAGCATACCTGGAGCCAAGGGATACTCCTACGCAGTGCAAGCGGAATTGGAAAGACTGGATCTATCGTAACAACCGGCGAAATCCCGAAACGCTGAACGCATCCCAGACAACGTGTATCAATGTATCCAAATCCGAGAAGTACTTCTGCTTGAACAAGAACGACCTTGAATGCCTTGCATTCGAGTCGAGGCCCAACCCTAAAGACCCCAGGCTCCCGCGAATGCGCTTATACGACTACAACGAAGTGGTGCGTCTGGCTTGCAGGAAACTAGCCATTCAGGCTGGGATTCCGCAGCGCGATGAGACGGCGTTGATCACTCGTGGGAAGGCGATGTTGGAGAAGAAGAAAGGGTTCAAGTACTATTGGGAATTCGATCCTTCTATAGTATGGATGTGGGGTTAGCGTGTGGTAGTGACGGATTCGTATCTTGGAAGCTGGGAGGAGGGTTGTAGGCTGCATCGCCAGATCCATGTGTTAGTCTTCGCAGAATGGGAATCACAATGCGCAAGCATGTCGATGCAGAGAGCTAGTCTTCAAGATCAAAAAATTCATCATTCGTATATGCATCTTCATCGAGCTCTCGGCTCGTAATGTACTATCTTCCATTTAATCTGCGCCAGCTCTTGCCAGCCGATTCCACTGCCCAGCCATCGCGCACTGTGCGTATCGCAGCCTCGTACAAACATCTAGTACACGTAGAAGGTCATGTTCTCGCTGTCCTGCTCGCGAAGCTTCTTGTTCTTGCGGGTAAAGAGAATCTTCGCCACCCACGCCAACAGCGCAGTCATAACGGAGAAGGCAGCCGAGGAGCTGAGCGCGATGATGTAGCGAGGCTCGTCAGACTTGGGCCATAGGTATGGTGTCCTATTATCCCTGTTAGCTACCGATTCTTTGAGATGATAGAGAAGAAGTAGAGGGGCAACTTACCAGATGAACGAAGCGTTCATAACCGTCGTCACGATACCGATAGCAACAGCCTTCTTCTCAGGCGTCTGACCGCATGTCGATCCACACCAACCCAGGATGAGCGAGTTGACACCATAAGTGCCAATGGTGAAGATGATCATAGCGACGTAACGACCCGCAGTACCAATCTCAGCACAAGCCAGTCCAAAACCAAAGGTAGCAACGGCCTTGGAAATGGTAATGTGCCAAGTGCGCTCGTTGAACTTTCCAGAAGACCACGAGACAGCGATCGTTACAACACCAGCAATGAGGTAAGGCGGGCAGGTCAAAACCAGCGTGATAGTCTTGCTGAACCCAAGCGTCTGGACAACGGTAGGGAAGAAGTTCTTGAACCCGTTGGCGGCAAGATGCATGTGAGCCATGAAAGCGAAGATCCAGACCATGGGGTCCTTGCCAGCCTGGCGGAAACCTGCCCAGACGGACGTCTCGCCCTTGTTGCCGACGGTGTCGAGGGCCATGCGGTTGGTGGCTAGGTCGCGCTCTTCTTGTGTGAGCCACCATGTGTTGTGCGTGAAATCTGTAGAGGTAGAGTTACAAAGTCAGTATATGTTTCACATGCACTTTTTACAGTCAAGTAAACTTACCAGGGAGCAAGAAAAATCCAACAACGGCGATGACAAAAGTGACGGCACCTTGCAAAATGAAGAGCCAGCGCCATCCCGTGATGCCAGCGACGTCGCCGAGACCGTGGAAGATACCTGCGGCGATGAGGCCGGCGAAGGCGGTCGCGAGGATGTTTCCGGTGTAGAGAATGGCAATGCGGGTGGCGACTTCCTTGCGGGTGTAGAACATGGAGAGCAAGTAGACGGCGCCGGGGTAGTAGGGGGCTTCTGTTACACCGAGGAAGAAGCGGGTTAGAAGGAGACCGGTGAAGTCCTTGGAAAGAGCTGTCAGGGCGGAGACGACGGCCCAGAGCATCATGCAGCAGCCCATGTAGCGCGATGGACGGGTTCGGTTGAGGAACATGTTACTGGGAATTTGGCCAAGGAGGTATCCGACGAAGAGAATGCTCACGCAGGTTTGGTACTGCTCGCTGGTGAGGTTGAGATCCTCTTCGAGGTCGTCGAGGCGGGCCAGTGCAATGGCATTGCGGTCTAGACAGAGCGATGTGTAAGTAAGTGCTTCCAAAAAGATCGCTGTGAGAGAGGAGTGACATACCAAGGTAATTGAGCCAGTACATGCTCCACAACATGGGCATAATCCATCGGTCGAGCTTCTTGACAAGCGCAATCTCTCGGGGATCAGTCTTCTCGTAAGCACCAGAGTAATCCACCTTGCCGACAATGGGCACAGGCTTCATGAGCTCTTCATCCCGAGTCATCGTCTGCTCGAGCATGACGACATCGTTCTTCTTCTCAGACATGATGGGTGGTGTTCAAAGAACCTCTCTGAAAAGATAAGAGTATGAGGTGTAAAGGGTGTGGGTAAGACGCCCGTTGGATCACCGAAGCCTGAGCTGGTTGATCTGGGGAAATCAACAATCCGGGGGACGTGGAGTAGCACTCTTATACACCTCCATCCCCGCCCTCAGCGTCGCACAAGTGCGGTGGATCCCATACTTCGCCCCAGATCCTTCTCTACAAGCGATGTTCCGAAATCACACGACAATTGTCTAGGTACCTCCGCGCATGCATGCGTTCCAAGACATGGTAAGCGCGCTTCTTCCGGCCGCCTTGGACACACTTGAGGCTGAATGGCGCTGGGGGAATGGGGTCGCGGGGTCCCCGAAGGCAAGTCTGCCCGCTTGCTTGGTCTTGGAGCCTGACTATCATTGTGCGTTCTGCCGAATCGCGAACATGCAAACGTGCGGCACACAAGCTCGCAGGGCGTACCCTAGGTGCTGGGCGTGCTTAGTGCCAGGTTGGCTTTGCCGCCTCCGGTGGTTTTTTGGCAAGGACAGGTATGTCGGAGCCGGTGGTCGGTGGTCTCGTGCTCGGTCTAGTGGTGCCCGCATCGTGAACTTTGCAGTTCAGCGGGGAGTAAGCGCTCACGTCGCGATGGTACAACCTCCGACAAGAGACGCAGCACTCTGGCGTAGAGTTGAGGGCTTCCATCATACCATCCCTTGCTCTTCCTTCTCCCCAGTCCATCCTGGCTGACGTCGCAATGAGAACACGAAATACGGTACTCGTCCCGGGAAGGTAACCCGCAAAATACCAAGACTCTTTCCTGACATGAACGTCGCATTGATACTCCGAGCCCACTACTCGTGACTGGTTCCGGTGAGGAGCCCAGCCCCGACCCTGGAGTCTTCGTGGTCTTGTCGCAGAGCAAAGGCACATTGGCAAGCCACCGAAATCTTGGTGTTGCGCCATGTCGCGCGAGGTCAAGTGTTTTCATAGCTTGTCAGTCGAGGCCAACGTCGCACATGGGCCTAGGCCAAGGGGGCCGAGACAGGTCCAAGATCTTGAGCATGCGCTGCATTGCGGGGAAACTAGATGGCGTGCACGCTTGTCGCACGGATGGGGTGTTAGACGCGGTCTTTCGGTGCGTGGTTTATGGGTCCCACCAGGTTTCTGGATGACACAAGTCCGCGGTGGGATTGGTTTGCGGTTTAGCCTGAGGTTTCGTCTCGAGGCCGCTGCTGAGGAGAAGGAGCTAAAAGTCTTTCCGCTGTGGATTCGGCCAATCAACGCGGAGCCAAGTCAGTCCGCCGGGCCTTCATCGTCTTGGCCATCATCCAACAAAGGAATATCCCACAACTTTGCTTGGTTTCTCCACGGGGCAGACCGGGTTCGTTTTTCGGTACTTGGTGATGCTAAACAGAGAAGAGGCCGCATCGATGGTTCTTGGTAAGTGACTAGTTGCCGTCTAAGCGGTGCGGTTGGTACGCAGCGGTGCCTCATCCGAGCCTGTGCCATGGAAGGATCGCAGTGGAGATCGTCTAGGCCATGTGGTCAAGAGAATTTGTCGGGTCGTCCTCGTGGCTCACGGCCGTGTTCACCTGGTGGGCGGGTGCGACGGCGAAGGTAGGTAGTCAACAGATCGCGAAAACGTCCACTACCCCATGGGGTTGTGGAGCGAAACGGTTTACCAGCACTTTGGAAACCTTCTGGTGGGTTGTCGATCACTGCTACCACGAGGTCGTCTGGAAGCAGCGACCAAAGGTGGACGTCCAAGTGTTGCTTGCCGCGATAACGACCACCACGACGGCGAGTACACCACTACTTATAACGTTACTCACGGAAAAGTATCCGTACACTGCTGTCAGGTGCCCAACCGAGGTATTGTGCGCCTACTGACAACAAGCGGGGACCTTCTGAACGTCAAGGCCGCCTGCTGCGCATTTTGGGCTGTGCTACCAATGAAGAAAGTCTAAGTACGAGAGATTACAAAAGTACAACAAGCATATCTATGGACACGATCTATTCAATAATCGCAAATCAAAACGCTAACCGAAATGTCCAGGTCTCAAACCCACGCCTTCAGCTCCTTCTCAGTCCACTCCCACAACTCCTTCGCCAACGCCCGATCCCGCCCCAGCTTTGTACTTGGCGTGGTCTTCACGCCCACCGGTTCATAATAAGCTCCATTGACCAAGTTCTCCTTCTTGGTAGTAGCCGCCCAAGTCTGGTTATACGCCCCCTGTTCCGTATCAAGCCAATTCCCGCCGGAGATAATATTCACAACCTGACGATCCATAAAGTTCGTGCTCGCGAAAAGATCCGTCTTGATAAAGCCAGGATGCACCGCCACAGACGTGATACTCGGGTGATGAGCAGCCAGTTCAGTAGCGTAAAGCAGATTGGCTAGCTTGGACTGGCCGTAACAGACCCATTTGTTGAAGCTGAAGAAGGAGCCGTAGTTTGCGCCTTTGGTCTTGAGCTTTGAGAACTCGATGCCGGTGGAAGGTACGTTTTGTTTGTAGGCTACGGATGAGAGGTTGACGATGCGGACATCGGCGTTGGGTTGCGATGCAGTGTCGAGCATGACAGGTAAGAGCAGCTTCATGAGTAGCGCGTGGCCGAGGTGGTTCGTTGCGAATTGGACTTCGTAGCCGTCTTTGCTCACGTCGTTGGGTACGGCCATGATACCCGCGTTGCACATAAGAACATCGAGGCGATCAGACGATGACAAGAACTGTTTGGCGGCAGATTGGACGGATGCGAGACTCGCGAGGTCGCACTCGATGAAGGTAACTTTGGTGGAGGGTGAGGCTATGGCGATCTTGGAGATGAGTTCATTGGCGCGAGCTTTGTTGCGACCGCTGAAGTAGATGTGCGCAGGGTTGTGAGATGCGAGAAAAGATATGGATGACGCTCCAAGACCGGTGGTGCCTGTAATGGTTAGTGGGCTGCCAGATCGGACGTAAAGGACGCCACATACCACCAGTGATCAGGAACACTCGGCCAGACTGGTCTGGAATATCGGACGCGGGGTTGAACTTGAGGTTGGACATTGTGTCGAGGCGATCTGTTCAGGTGTCTTGCAGGGTA